TAAATAAATTTAATTAATTATTATTAAATATTAATATTTATTAAAATTTATAATTATTTATTTATTTAAATTAAAGAAGTTCTGAATTCGACTTCCCAATAATCAAATTTTGAACTGCAATAGTGAAAATATTTACTTTGGTAAATAAAGGGTGAGGAGTTCCTATATGTAATTTAAAAAAAATATATACTTTTTTTTCTGTAAAAGTTTATAAATATGAAGTTGTACGTATTTGAAAATATAATTTATTTATAAATAATGTAATTTGATAAGAAAGAAATATGATTGGGCTGTACAACAGGAATCAGTTTGGAAAGCACTGACAAGGGATTTGACCCGTGGGAAGAGTGAGATAAGTAGGCATGGAATTGGAATTGAATTGTCATGTCAATAAAAAGTAGGTGTCATAGTCATGCATAGTACATTTAGATTCAAACTTACGTGTGGCGTTGTACGAATGCATGTGGACGTGTCCAGTGCAGCTCCACATTATGAATCACAAGTACTCCATGCTACGTGCACTAAATAAGGCCGCTGATGCAACATGGACACTTTCCACATTCAAATTCTCTTCACAAATTTAAATACAATAATTATTTTTAAATTTTTTAATTTTTTAATATGAAATATTTTGTTTGAATGAAGAATTTATAAAAAATTAAAAATTTAAAATTTGTAAAAAAATTTAAATTAATAAAATTTTAAATTTTTCTAGAAAAATAAGAATTTAAAATTTTTTTCTTCTTATTTCACTTATATATTTTATTTTATCTCGTATTTTTTCATATTTTTAATTATTGAATATTTAAAAATATTCTTTAAAATTATTAAATATTATCTAATATTAATTTTTATATTATATAATATTAATTTTTAAAATTATTAAATATTTTAAATTTTGTTAATATTTATTTTTATAAACTTTAATTTAAAAATTTTAATATATAAATATATTTTAAAAATTAATTTTATCATAATAAAATTAAATTATTATATCTAAACTAATAATTTAAAATTTGAATTGACTTATTCAAATAAAATATTTTAAAAATTATAAAAATTAAAATCAAAATGATTCAAATATTAAGAAACTCAAATTTTTTAAATTTGTAAAATTTTTCATTTAAACACGTGATAAACTAATTTAAAATTTATTTTAATTCAGTTTTTAGATATACACACAGGATGAAAACAAGGTAATTTGTGATTCCCTCGTCTCTTCTTTTCAAGACACGTATATTAGTGAAATTAGTGTATAGTTACAAACAATTTCAAAAAAAATTTATTAATTATTACCATATGATTCAAATGATTTTTATATAAAGTTAAAACTTAAAAATAATGTTTGCATCAAAAAACAAAGAATCCCTTTCATATAGATAACTTAATCGTACTTTTATTGTAACAAATATAAAATTTTAGTCTATAATTTATAATTGAAAAAATGTATTTCTTGTAATTATTGTTACTAAATTTTAATTATGTAATAAATTATTTAGATATTTAAGGAAACAGATAGTTTTTTTAATCTTAATTCTTTTTTAAACTCATTAGATAATGTAATACTATATGTTTTTTTATAAATAAGATTATGAATCATCTGACTTATTATCATAATAAAATTTTATTAATTTTTCTATTAAGAACTAATAAAATATGTTTATTATGACTTTTAATAGTTGATTATTATTCTATAAGAATTTTTGTTATCAAGCAATTAATTAAAACATTAAGATAATCAAGTTAAACATAAATTTTTATATGAGTCGCATAATATTTTTTTTTTTTTGTAACATTTACTAATTAATTATATTATTTTGTGGTTTTGTGAATTTTATCCTTCAAGTTTTCAATTTGTATATTTTGTTATTGAAGATTTTAAATTTCGCATATTTTCCATTATATTAATTAATAGTTTGGAATTTTTAGTTGATAGATATATTAATTATTGAGATATATAACACATTAGTTGTTAACATAACATTTTAACATATAAATTGAAAATATGACATAATATGAATAGTCTATGTTACATTAATAATTAATATGTCATGTTGATGGTTATGTTACATATTTAACTCGATGATGTCATACAATCAATTAACGTGATTACAAAATGTATGAAATGTTGAAAGTTGAATGGTAAAATTTATTAAAAATAATAATAACAATAATAAACACATTAGTAATAAAAAGTATAATTAAGTCAAAATTTATCTATTGAAATATACTTTAATTTAGGTGCTTGGGCGATATTAATTAAGATAAGCCAACTTTGAGAAAGTCTTGTGTTATTCAATCTAAACTATTGTGCGTACAAATAAATTGAAATAAAGTTATTTTAGATTAACTAGTAGTTTCAAATTTGACTTAAAACATGATTATTTATAGCAAAAGATATATGTCATCTCTAAAAAAAAGATACTATTATATTGACTTAAGTATGTTTTTATTTTAATAAATAAATGAGTTTTGATTTTGGTTCTATATACTCATTTTTTAAACTGTGAAATCACTTATTTTAGTTATATAAATGAGTGTAGTAACGGATCCAGAAATTTTAGATAGTGGGAAAATATTTATTTATATATTTGTAGTATTAAAAAAATTTATATAACTTTTAAAAGCATAAATATATATCATAATTATTTTTTACAAGTTTTTAAAGATGAAAATAAATTACGTCAAACTAGATTTTATTATAATTTAGTAGGTTTGAACTTAACTTTCTTTAAAAATATATTTTCTAAGTATGACTTATTTATCTATCATAGACATTTTTTAAATGTTTGGCTAGAACTATAATTCTAAAGACCTACTTTATAATAATTTAACTATTAAAAATATAAAAATTAAGTTTAATTTATTTATGATATAAACATGTTTTTAATATCTAACATATATTTTTAGACGAAACTTTATTGTTGGACATATTGTACCACTCGCTATCAGGTCACTAACACTACAAGAAATATTATATATATATATATATATATAATATAATATAATATAAAGTGTTACTATAAATATAATATATATAAGT